GGGGGGAGCGGGCTAAAGAAGGTGTTCATACTATCTCTCCACCTCTAATTCCAAAGACTACAGGGCCTGACAACAAAATCCCCCCGCACTCAGAGAATTTAGTCTCCCCCAAAAGCATGAGCTACCCCCTCTATCACAATCCCTCTACAGGGCCTGTGATAGCTCTCTAGCAGAAAGAAACCTTCTTAGCAAATTTTCACCTCCAATTGTTAAGGACTAGTCAAGCATAGAAGAAAAGAGGAAATTTTTCTCTCCCTTAACCTTGTAACAGTATACATACCCTATCGCAAGCTTCCTTTCCTCCAATAGCCACATATATCTTTGGAAAGAAGTTCTAAAACGTGGTGGTTCTGAACTGATGATGATTTCTGCTCACTGTATTAATGTTTGGTCAAAGTGCGAGAGGGCAAAGAGGAAACCCATGGAGTTTTTAACTGATTTCATTCCACATGTTACTACAGAGCTTATGTACTGAAACTGAAGCAGAGATGAGAAATACCATGCCTAGTTGCTACAGAATGGATGCCAGGTTCCAGCAACACTGCTGTACTGACAATATTCACATTTTTATTGATGTTATTCTACTTTTACTGACACAAATGCAAACAATTCTCACTACTTAATTTAAAATATACAACTCAAATTGGTTTTGTTCATTACCACATAATCATTCACAAAGTGAATGCAAATAAGAATGAAAAACAGAAGATCAGGCCCATATATCCAAAAATTAAAACGCCAAAGGTTATATGAAATGTTATACATTTTCTTTGGGAAAAAAGTGTTTATTTGTAGTGAATTGTGTAATAGACAATGGTAGAGTAAAAACCTGATTATGAAACACATTGACTGTGAAAATTAAATACAAAACAGACCACAGTTCTTGCATGTCAGTATCCACCTTACTTGTATAAAAATCGGGCCCTGAGAGTATACAGAACCTTACATATGTGTTGAAATAAGTCGGTGTTAGCTTGCCTGATAAGGAATATAGAAAGAAGAGCTGATTCTGGAAAAGTAACCTAAGGTGAAGAAAAGGTATTTTTCCCAAGTATAATGATGGAAATGGCAGGTATACAGCTTTTTTAAAGAAAATTTGCTGAAATTTCTTGGCAGTTCAGATATGCAGAGAGCATAGAAAAAACACATTCAAAAGTCAGCATGACACTCCTTTTTATAGTTTTCCACTGCCTTTGAGATTCCATACGAGGCAGTTGAATAAAAGCTGACAACCACTAAGCTTCATCTGTTTACTGAAAACCCTGTTCTTAGGACCTTCCTACTCAAGCGGGAACACTACAAATGCTGATATTTCATAATAAAAATGTGTAACTGCATTATGGAAAGATAAAGTTTTAAGACTGAACTGTTCAAGTGAAAATAAAAGGTATTTATGATGCAGTGATACATTATCCCACATAACTGCAAGAAGAGATATATTTCTATTTTCATAGGTTAATGGAAATATGGATCATAGGTTCTCCGAATTTTCATTGAAACTGATTTAATTTTGACTGGTTTATTGTTCATTGTCCATGTATCCCAGTGAATCCCGGTTGCAAGAAATCTACCTGTGTAGCGATGAACACCATTAAGATTTGCAAGGCCACACTGGTTGAACCACCATCCAGTGTTATCACTGAAGTTACTGCAGCTCTTTACAGGCTGTTCTTTAATAGTGCACATTGGTCTGCATCCATCATTATCAACATCAAATGTGCTGAAAGGCATTGAATTCTGGTTATCTTCTTTTCTATATCCTCTAAATGCATCACCTAAGTACAACAGACAAAACAGAAGGATAAAAGAGTTATTTATGGAGAAAAATAGCATTTCTTACTTGTTGCATACCTAGCAAACTTTTCCTCTGAATTTATTAGGAAAATAGATTTCTTCAAAAGTGGTTCAAGAGCAGCAAGTAATGAGATGACAATGTGTTAAAGATGTAGGAAAGAAAAAGTATAAAATACTGAGAAGTATGGAAGAAGATGAAATTCGATGAAACATCTTCATATTGTTGTTGCTTTTAGTGATGCACACCAGCTATGAAGGTAGAGGCTTCTGTCCTCAAAGACAGTGGAAGAAAAGATAAAAGAAACGAAAAGGGTTGTTAACTTCAGATTTTCCAGTGATGTGCCCAAAGCCCCAGAGTGAGTGAGTCATGAGATAAAATGGAATTGTTAAAATGCAAAGGTCAATGATTACTGGTTCTGCTGTCTTACTAAAGAAATAATGTTTCTTACAAATACAGGTTAAGCACCAACACATTTAGAGAATAACTATTACATTGGTAATAAGGAGCATTCTTGTATGTTAGTAAACATGCCACAAAAAAAATTAGAAAAAAGCAGTAAGACATAGTGCAATACTTAACACAAATCTTTGCACATTTGGTATAGCTATGATATTAAGGGAGGTTTGGAATTGGAAATTAATTTGTGTCTATATACCAGCCAGTAACTGTTACATGCTGTAGGCCTAATTTGTTCCAGTCGGTTTCCTTCTCTGTCCTTTGTACGCCACTGTCTGGGCACTTCTGAACTAACCAGAGCAACAACATCACGAAGACTTCCACTAACATCAGCAAATTTGGGATGAGATAATGGACATCTAAAGAATTGGACCATTAGATGGATATACACAAGCACACACAAAATCCCTTATGTATTATATATATTCTGTGGACTTGAATCCATTGAAGTTCCTTTATTTTCTTTACTCATTTTATTTATTAAAGGAGTGTTTATTCAATTATTCCATTAAAGACCTTGAAGCAATAGAATAAAATGATTTCTTACTATGTAAAGATTGATGTTGGCATAAGCAATCACTACATCATTAACCATTTATCTGCATAAGTGTTCATTATGCACCAGAGAAAAACACATTAGAAATAAACATTTTTAAAGTTCTCTTAATTAAGTATTACTCTTTTGAAAGTATTTTTTCACATTAAGAAAAGGAGCAGCTATCTTTAAATACTTTGAAGAGGATGTTCTTACCAGCATTTCCTGAATAACGACCCAAATGGATCTTAAAAGAACATGCTTCGTCCTCTATCCAAAATCCATCATACGATGCATAGGCATGCTTGTCATTTTCTGATTCCAAATCCACATAAAGACTAAAACTAGTGGCTTTTTGATTTACTATGTGAAAAATCTTCCTCAGTCCAAGCCAAAATTCCCCTAAAACAGAAATACATAGTCAATAAACTTCTAGAAACAGAAGGTGTAAAAGAAAAAATGGATTCCTCTAGTTTTTGTACTTTCCTTCCTGAACCAAGTGTAATAAAAGTTGTCTGATGTGTTTGAAAGACTAATGAAGGTACAGAGTAATCTTCCTACTTCATTGGGAAATCCATTGAAAGAATTCCCATGTGCATATCATCTTTTTTCTCTGTGACATTTTTAGAAAGTTGTCCAGGTGGTAACTTTCAAGTGTTAATCTTCAATATACCTTAGAAGACCACAAAAACTGGATGCGCTAAAGATCCACTTGATTAAACAGAATTCAGTAGTGTTCCTAAGGGCAATACTGAGAAATTATAAATATTAGCATTGTAAGAAATGCAACAAAACTCAAACCCTATTCTCGAGATTTGCCTCTGTAAATCACACTTTCTTCCATGAAAGGTTGCCCCATATGAGCTGTGCTTTCCTGTATAGTTGAGAAGTTGTGTGCTTCCACTGCAATCCCAGATGAACTCCTGAAAAATCAACTGGTTTTAGACTTGCTGGATGAAAGGTGGCACTAAAAAAGTAGTATCACATTTGTATTTGTATTAGCTACTGAAATATTTCCATTCTGTTTCTAACTTCACATGCCCTATGGTGAAATATTAGTGATTTTTCTCTGCTTTAAGGAAATATTTCACAAATGTGATTAAAACCAACTAAGGCTTTTTTTTTAAAATCTGAAAAAAGGGGAAATACAATTGTTTCAGGAAAAAAAATATCACAACATTTTAAACACCTCTTCTGAGACTGAGGATGGACAATGGCTAAAGACTCTAGTAGGGTGATAGTCATTATTGAAAAGATCACACAACAGATTTGATGAAACAAACCTAAGTATAAATAGGACTTTTAAGAAACAAGAACTTTACTCTCTATACTACTAAAAATCGCACACAATTTAGTGGAATGTAGCTCACATAAAGACAGCAGAAATGTTGGGTCCAAAGCGCTTTAGAGTATTTAAAATTAATACCAGAAAGGTCACCAAATCCATCCAGATATTCAGACCATGTTCTCTGAAATGGAATGATTCCATCCGTTCTTTTCTGAACGACAGTCCATCCACCTCCTTGAAAATCCATGTCACACAAAACCTAAAATAGACATAGGTATCATTAAGCATTCTTGAAGCAGCTGTTACAAAGAAAACATTTTCATTAAATAAAGGTGGACTCTTTAGAGTTTTGCTAAGCAACGTACCTTTCAAATATCTTAACAAAAAGCTCAAAGGAAAAAATGACACTGCAGTATTTTCTTGAATGTTCTTGTTGGGCTACTTGATTTGGATATTTCCTCAACCAGCAGAAACTGTTGTGTGCAAATGTCTACTCGTATCAGGTATAATAAATAATCTTTGGTAAATGTTACTGTGTATTAATAATAGCATGAAGTGGAAGCAACATACAATGTCATGTATTAATCATGCAAAATATTATAGATACAGGCACTAACACTGAATATACCTTTATTTCAGCAAAGAAAAATAGACACAACTTCTTATGTGTTCTCCCTCGCCATGATACCTTCTTCCCCAGAAATACTGTGTTTGCAATGCCTGGGAAATGTAGAGCCCTTCATAAAGGTGAGGAAATGGAAAAAGTGGTAGCAATAACCCAGTATATAATAATCCATACTGGAGCAGCAAAAAACTCTACATAAGAAGGGGCCCCAATCCAGGGAAGTCCCAATGTGAACATTTAACAGCCTGCAACTGAGCAGTCCCACTGAATACATAAGATCAATTCTCAAATTTATGAGTCTTTATGAGTCTTTGCTAAAATTTGTGCCCAACGGTATGTCAAATGGCAGTGGTCCAGCTGCCCTCTGCTCTGCTATGGAGTATCACATTATGTGGCACATTTTCTCCTCAGCCCATTTAACTTTAGACACATAATTGAGTTCCCTAAGTTAGGCATCTTATTGCCCTTGTCTCTCCTGTAATCCCCCTTATACAGAGAAATGTGCGTTCATGGCATGGCTCTGGGAAATAGGAAACCAAGGTCTAAATCACCCTCTGCAGATGTCAGTCACCTCCACTGTCTACAGAAAGGGCCCCTAGACCCTTGGCTCCTCTCTAGGGATTTCAGCTAAGTGCCTAAAGTTAAGTGGAATGTATCCAGGTGACCCTGGGTATTTTTCAAGTATGTCCCCAGTGCCAGAGCTTGACCAGTTCTAACAGGGATTAGAAAGTCTGGGCATCCTAATGTAGAAAGGTGCATATCGCACATTTAGACACTGCACCACTGAAGCTGTTCAAAGTAGTTCTAGGGGATACTATGCTTAATTAGTGTTTAAAAACAGAGGCTCATTTGTGTCTCCCAATGTGAGTAATATCAGGAGAACTAACCTGGAAAATGCTTATAGCTATGGAGCTATTAAGCTACTTGTGATAACAAAAGTAAGTTCAGAATATAATGCTGGCTATCAGTAAATCATAACAGTAAGCAGATGCACAAGTGATGAAGTAAAGTAGGATTTTTTTGTTCATGTTACAGGGAATGTACACAATGAAACATTTCAGAAAAGAGAGATTTGCAATCTTAGCCAGCTGCTAAAAGTAGAGTCTAGGTGGAAGTCAGTTTAACCCTCAAAAAAACTGTGGCAGTCTGAGCTTTATATGTTGCACCTCCATTGCCTGTACCAGTCAGATATTTTTCATGAAACCAAAGACTTGTTCCTTGGCAGGAACACATCGACATCATATTCAGAACCTCTGTGACTTAACAACATCTTCTCTATGAACAAGAAAGCAACAGGACAGAGCTGCAATGTGATCTAATACAACCTGGGGAATCTTGGATCTTCAAGTAAGTCAATGCCGTTGGATGCTTTGAGCACTCCTTGCAACACAAGTACTGAATGAATCATAAGGGTCATGTGCATGAAAGAAAATTATGGGCTTTATTCCCTGGAGAATCACATGCTTATTTCAGTCACCCAAGGAGGGTGGAACTGGAATAAAAAGAAATACAGAAGATTCCAAAATGAGTATTTAGATGCAAATACCTAAACTCATTAAAAATAATCCCATTGCCTCATCCACTGTCTTGAGAAGATGATTGCATGCTTGGCTACTCCTCTCACTGTGAGTCATAAATACAAAGAGGAGCCCACTTGGTCACAACATCAATCTTCAGTCCAATATAAATCAGTGGAGTGCTGATAATTCTCAGAAGGAGCAGATTTAGTTCTACATGAAAGGTCATCATCCAATTAGATATGGCACCAAAACATACAACAGCTAAGTAAAAATATGAGATAGATATACAAAAAACAGTCATCGCTGGGTAGTTTCTTAATCCCTTATATGCTGGAAATTATGCAATTTTCTTTCTTAGAGCCTTATAATAGTTAATCCACTTTACCGCTTGTTCTGTGTCTCATATCGTGCAAGGTATGAGAGGCATGACTGTGCCAGGTACAATTTAAATTAAATGAGCAGGAGGATACCTCTACTGACTATTTCTTCCCTTTCCATCTTTAGTGTAAGAGGTATATTCCAAACAACTGCTTAGTTTGTCTGACCCACCTTAGAAATATCATTGATCTAAATTTACTCATTGAAAAATGTATCAGAAAGTGAACATGATTCAATTTTCCAGAAGTGAAATTGGTTTTAATTGCTTCATGTTTGAATGCTCAGACAAAAGCCCATTTGGGACTAATTTTCTGAGATGATGAGAACCTGTCACTACCACTGAAACTGGATATTCTTAGAGCTCCTGGAATTCAGGTTTCAATTAGCCTCAATTAAGCATCAAAATCTATACTACTCACTTTTGAAAACATGAGGTTTTAAACATGAAAACATGAGAACAGGATCAAGTTGTCTAAATAGTTTTCTTCATTTATTTGGTATCTTTATGCAAATGATTCTAAAGATGTTTTGGTTTAGTTTCAGTTACATTTAAAGGGCAGCTTATTGCTGAAAAGGTCCTCATTGAAATAAATTGTTTCATGCTGGCTTTGTTTTCTGTTTTTTCGTTTCTTACTATGGTTTTCTGTCTCTCTGTATTTTTCTTATTTTGCTAGTCTGCAGAACTTCCAGAACTCTTAGCCACTTCAAATGCATTACAATTTCTTGTTTATGTTTTAATGTCTTGATATTTTTGTTCATCTATCATTTCTCTTGTACCCTTTTTATGCTTCAACACATGGAATAATTTGCATTAAACAGTTTTCCTTAAAATAACATTCTTTATGAAACACACATATTTTAGATATTTTTCTCTGAGAACTTTTTGGCACTGTCTCTTCAGTTCTGTGTAACATCTACCAGACAAGAAATGAGACACTCATTTCAGGAGTGCAGACATTTCTTCTCATTATTTATTGTTACCTTGTGCTTTTAATCAAATTATTATGATTTTTCCTTTTGTTTCTTGTTCTCCTTAAGGAACCTTTCCACTCATATAACTGATTCTCAGATTCTGGCAGTAACTTTAAATGTGGAAAACTGTCAAAAATACTTTTGAAGTGAAAGGAACTTTATCATTTCAGATTATTTGCCAAAAGCTATAAGTGAACTGAGAAATCACTCTTCTCACATAGATTAGTCATACCATCTCTCAGGAAAAGTAATTTGGGTGAGGTATGAATATTTCCTCAGTGGAATCCCCCTCAATCCAGAAGAAATTCTGAAACAGATGCATTTTGTGCTATGGTTCATCCTGAGGTGAGGCAGACAGCATTTTCTTCGTACTATAAATATGGTCGTTCTGTGAACACTTCTACCTGTCTTCGTCTTTCTTTCACCTGGAAGGAACTTGCCAGTGAGTTACAGATCTTTTCCCTGAGCTCTCTGCATTGCATAGAGAGAATGACAGGTTTTTCTATTGGGGTCTGCAGAACCAAGTTCATTTTTTGTTTTGAGATCCCAGCATACTTCAGAAGCCTTTTCATAACCAGTTTGAGCTTTTTTTTTGTAGTATTTTGTAGGGTTCCAGTTGGCTGGAGATAAAGGGATTCATCCTTCCTTTGTTATATATAAAGGAAGACTATAAAGTTGGATATTAAATTTTGCTATTTATTAGCTGGCTTAAACTCCACATTTTTTCTCCAAAAACTAATGACCCCAGCATGTACTGCAAAATTAAAGGCTTGAAAGTGCCATATCTGTCTTTTGACTATGCATAAATAGACTTCCCTAAGTAGAACAGCTTGAAATAAACAGAAAAAAACAAAGTATTCCTTGTGTTTGCATGGATCTGAATGTCCTGAGCCTGAGGAAATTAACCCAAAACTCTCTTCTCCTAGATGAGCACTCTAACTCTGAGCAATTACAGAAAATGCAGGTGGCAATAGGAAGCATGACTGCTGCAGTTCATGCTGAATTTCATCCTTTTTAATTTGTCTTAAGAATGTATATCCTGCAAACTGGATCTGAAGACTAAAAGTTTAGATGCTTCTCTGCCTCAAGACTGAGTTATAATCATGCTCAGACAAGAGCTAAGCACCTACTCATCAAACTAATGTACATCTGCACCTATATTTAGATGCCTACACAATTTCACGGTCCGAGCTACAGGTATCAGCGGAGTCGCCTCTCAAGAGAAGGCAACGGTATACAGTCGTCCAGCAGAATAATTCAAAACGCCAAAGGTCACATTTTAGGAGCCAAATGGATCAGTCACTGGGCTGCTCAGTTTTCCACCTCTAAAATAGAAACAAACAGCACTTCTCAATGTCCAAAAGGGGTGCTGGAAAATATCTTAGTTATCCTCTTTGGTACATTTTTCACTGTGTATGAAAACTGAGGATGGGATCTTATGACAGAGATTAAATTTCTTTGTAGAAAATGAGAAACTTGTCAAAATTATAGTAATGGCAGATACATTTGGATGATTTAATACATTTCTTATTCATCTGTTGAGAAATTGTCAAGGAAAACACTTTGAATCTATTAAATATATTCTAAGTGCATATTCTCAAGCAAATTGTGACTATCCTGAGAGATAAATTCATTACCTCAAAAGGATAATTTGATCCTTCGGGATGGATAATGTACAGACCAGTTGGAGTTTTTGAAACTGAACCAACAGTATCTTTAATATCGGTGCAATCCAACCCTAGAGAACAAAGTATTTCATGAAGTTCATTAGCAAAGTATGTTAAAAAAAAACCCAAATACACCTTAAGCACAGAATATTACTTTTCTTGGTAACATATGAACGATATCAAATAGCATTTTCTTGTCATGCAAACTTTAAAACGATATTTTTTCATGAACTTATGTATAAATGAAAGTTCTCTGAACTCCATTAAGTTCAGACAGAAGTATAAAGTATATTGTAAAGAGAAAGTTCTTTCTAATCTTAATGGTATGATAGAGAAATTAAAAATTATGTATCTGGGTCTTATTTTACAGATTTTATTTGGGTGACACTTGTACTGAGTAAAAAGACATATTATCTGGGAAGGGTTGTCTTTTTCCTGCACATATTTGTGTTTATACCCCTAAAAGCATTTACATCATAATGTATACATTAAAAACCCTTTGCTTCCCCTTCCAACCCAAAGCATTCTATGATTCTATGATTCTAAGTGTTAAGCCAGGTTTGTGTTGAACACACTCAAGCAAGCAGTTTCTACGGCCAATAGGACTGCTTAGAGGTAGTTTCCTTTAATTGGGATGGACACTACAAAGAAGATTAACTGTCCAGTGTTCAAGTGACTTCCATGTCATTTGAAGAAGGATATTGCAAATGCTGAGCACAATTTATTTCATTACAAAAGAAAGTGCCATTTAGCAACATCAGACTGTTTATGAACAGGATGCCCAGAATTATCAGTTGCAAATGATTCAAAGCAGTCTTTATGATTACATTCTTAAAGAGTTCACAAATTTTCAGAGTTTATACGTGCATACTAACACAGAAAAAATACTGTAAATGTTATAATTTCTTACCCTTGCTTTAATTAGTTCTGTGTCAAGATACAAAGATAAAAAGGGAAGAGGTCAAGACTAAATGAGAAAAATACTTACCATGAGATTGAACTGCTCTGTAAGGAAGTGGATCCAAATGCTTTCTCAAAACTTCTGCGTTCAAAAGAAGAAGTCTGTTCATGAGTTCATTTACCTGCAAATTCAAATAAAAGATCTTTAAATAGGTTGCAATGAGGAATTTTACATTCTAAAGTTGTTCTTTTTGACTCCTACTGAATATAAGCTGAAGTTAATTTTTGTGATGTGTGAGTGATTTGTACCTTCATTATGTGAATTGGTCCAATTTTTTACTTTTTGCATCCAAAATCATTCTTAGACACAATTCTGTTTAACTAAAGAAAAGTCCTTCATTTTAAGGCTTTTTATCTGTACTGAGTGCAGAGTGTTTGTAAACTACTGTCAGAGTTAATGATAAAATAATACGTAATCTACACAAATATGACAGGACTGCAGATAGGAACCAGTGTGAAGGAGTGGTCCATCACTTGCCCTACTGCCATGTATGCCACTAAGTTATGGACCAGGTGGTACTAGTCACTCCTTGTAGAAATGGAACTCACACCTTACCTGAGGTACAAGGAATGGTGATAGCGGCTGTAATTCTACGGTTTTAATGACAATATAAATGCTTAATTTTCCTCAGTTAGACAATACCCATAGTGCTAAATAATAAATAAAAATCTGTATGATGAAGAAAAAAGTACCTGATTAGAAAGGTAATCCAAAGAAGACTGCTGATCATCCATCATGTTTCTTACCAGTTTTTTTGTACTTCTTGCATATTCAACAAGAGAGTTCTGCAAATTTCCTTTAAAAGAAATATGTTCATCCACTTTGTTATCATAAATCTAGAAATATTCTTGATTGAATAATGACACATTTATTTATGATATCTAAGTGAATATTGAAGGTGTTTAACCTCAGGGTACCTCAAAGTGAAATTAAAGTAGTACAGAGACCACAGATTAAATCCAAAGATGCTAAGAACCTCAGCCTCACTGGTTGCAGTGAAGACATTTTAAGAAGAGATGGCTCTTGTTAAGATTTGAAGAAGAATTTCATCTTATCTTTGGGCAACCTGGATAACCAGTTAATGGATACCACAGAAATACAAATGCAAATGACAAAAGACAAATACATAATGTTTCCTGTCATCCTATATTTACTCATTCATTCTGCTACTTACTCATGCTTCTGGTTTTTGCCTAAATATAGGCAAAAATGCTAAAAATACAAAAATGAAACTTGTCACATAATTAATAATACATATTAAAAATCATATGGGAAAGACAAGAATTTTGACAAATTTTTCTGAGGCTGATTACATGATTTGCTGTGTAGTTTGTCAAGGCAGTGAATAGAAAATGTCCTGTATAGGTATCTAGAAAAGGCAAGCTGAAGCATAGATTTCCTCCCACTTAACTAACTCCCACACACCTAACTATGATTTAAAAATTAAGGACAGACACCCTACTCTTCCTCTCTAATGGAGAGAGCTACCAACATTCAGAGATTGGCAAAGACTTCGGTGGGCTGAGCTGCTTGCTTGGACTTGCCTGTCCTCAACCAGTGATTATGAAGAGAGACTAGCATGATTATACTCTAACTTTGTCATACCAGCTGCACCCCAAAAACACGGCACCCCAAATTTTCTGAACAATTCTCAGCCTGGGCAGCAGCATCAAAGGCTGTCACATGTGCTCAAGAAAGTTAAAAAATAAATTAGCACAGCATAGCATAGCATAGCAGAGGATTGCATAGCATGGCATTGCATAGCTTGTCGCTGAGAGTATTCTTTATGAATACATACTGCACATGTAATGTTTTTCCCCTCGTAAAATTTTAGCTTGAACATCACATGGTACAAGGCATTGTTCTTTTTGTTTTGAAATATCTGCAGATTTATTTTTCTCTTCTGCCTTGAGTGGTTCCTCCACAGCTCCAACATTCCTTGTGCCCTGTTGTACCAAACAATGGAGGGGGAAATAAATTGATCATAAAGCATATATGAAATAGCTCAGTCTGCCAAAATGAAGTAGATTACTCCATGGATCATCCTTCAAAACCTGTTTTTTTAAAGCTTTATCAAGTGATAATTGACAGAGCTGAGACCAAGGCCTGTTAGGTGTCTTCTGCTTAGCCATATCTCAGAAGAGAAAGAGAGAGTCAGAAGTAAAGAATAGCCTCTATAAATTTAAAAAATACCACCAACGTTTCTATTCTACCTGTGAGCACTGTGAACTGGAGGCAAGAACTTGCAAATCTTGCATTTAAGAAGCTCACATTTTAGGAATTGCCACACCCAACAGACATCTCAAATGCTAACAGTTATTTTCACTGGAAAGGAGCAGGCTTTTGGATTTACCATGTATTAGCAAAACACGTTCACTCTTGAAAGTCCCTAAATTAACTACTTAGACTCCGATCATGGAAATACTTGCACAGGTTATTAATCTATGCACACAAGCAGTCCCAAGCAGACTTGCAGACAAACCCAACATTAAAAAAATATTTGAAATGCTCTTATAGAGGAAAGAATAAAGGGATACTATTCACAGGCATACAATTATCTGAAATAGTAACAATAAAAGCATTGGTTAAAGTAGCTACACCTATTAATGTTCTTTTAAAGTAATATTTTCATATTTAATATTTTTTCTTCCATGGTGTCATTTGACATAAAATAAGGGAATGCCTCTGACACATCACTTAAAGAAATGCTAAAAGTAATACCTGAAATATGTGTCATTGTAAAAAGACTAAGAAACATGTCTTCATTTGAGTCTTTGTTATTTAATTCCATAATCTCAGCAAAGCATTGTAGTATGTTCATATGCTGTATTTCCAAATGCAAGCAGGACCCTTAGAAACTTAAAGGTTTTAATGAAAAAGAAAACTTATTTAGCCTTGAGTATATCTTCAACATAATTGCTCTCCTTTCCTGCTTCAGGTTTCTCTTTCTGGTATTGGCACTACACTGGCAAAGCACGGAACAGTTTTCTTCCTGATTTTTGCTTTCAAAAAGTGAAAGTAAAAATTACATAAAACTGTTAACAAGGAGATTTTACAAAAAAAAAAAGAGGTTTCTGAATTATTAATGTAATTGCATTTTGTGTCTGGAGATAAATACTAGATAACTAAAAGAATATGTTTCTTTAATTTTGAAATAAGCATAAAATAAAGGAAGAAAAGGAAGAAAAATTCTGTAAGAGTTATAAAAAGATCACTTGAAACTATGGTTTGTTCCAGGGCTTTATACCAGCTACTCACCAGATGTTCAATTAAATAGTGTCAAGCAAATACATTTAATCAATATTTATTTTTAACAAAAGCCAACATGAAACAGGCAAGTAAATGTGACCTCAGCAATTCAAGCAAAAACTATGACTCTGCCAAAAACAACAGTTACTCTGCATTTATAGTCATGCAGATGAGATTAAAAATATGGCCTAACAACTGAGCTGTGATGAAGGACATTAAGACAAAAATGTTCTAATATACTGAATTCCTACAGTTTCAATGTGGTTTCTTTTCTCTATCAGAAAATACCTGATTCTTCTGTGTTTTCGTATCTACCCTGAGTAAACCAATCTACATTTTAAAAACATCTGTCACTTTTCTGAGAAAACATTCGGTTACATTCATTACCTTATCTAAGCAAAGTAATTGAAAATCTTACCTTAGATGAACAAGGCTTGACATTACTTATGACAGTCTCTCCTAAACTGAACAAAAAAATATTAAGACAAATCAGTGAAGTTACCCTAAAGCAGTTCATCTTTTACTCGAAGAAATGCAAACGTTTTGACGGGTTTCAAATTTCTGTGGAAAGGATTGTACGCTATGAAGTCCTGAGCTAACTATTTGGGAATGTCTACAGCACAAAGAGCAGCCAACACATCACTCCTTTAATGCCTGGATTTAATAAACCACATTTCAGTTGCACAGTAGATTTTATATACCACTGCTTGTATCCTGAGAGCAATTACTGCTTATCACCTTTACATGACACATCAAACATATATATTTTCATTGTGATAAAACTGCGACAGATTTACTTACATGCTATTTTTGAGCATTGGTATATATTTGATATTGAATAGTCCGGGCTATTTGAAACAAAAACAAGTATCAATCGATGTTTTCAACTTTTTACAAAAGTTTTTATCATTAAAATGAAGGCATTTACATTGGTGTGGTGGTAATGCACTAGAACTGGCTGTGGAGGCAATTTTAGAACATGTCCTAAAAGCAAATTCTAAATAGAAAACTGAAAAATATTTCTTTAAAATAATGCTTCGTGTTACATTGAAAATTGTTTACCGGGAGGACAACAGCAGTCTCTTGGTCTCACTGGTAGCCCATCCTTAGGAACAGAAGTATTGAGTGGGACAATCATTCAAATACAATAATTTCTATCCCTGAAAAATGTCGAAGTAGAAGAGAATGTCCTGAAAATCTTACAGTTTTCACACACTCAGATCCACTATTTTTGTATCTTAAAAACTGGATGTGCCATTTTAACCAAAAAGCAAATTATTTGGAAAGCTCATTTGGAAAGTTCATAAAGGTCCAACAGATTTTCAACTCCTCATGCACATTAGAGAATTCGTTTGTGATCTGGCCGAATAAATGAAACCTCAGCTTCTACCATACCACTGGGAGATAGCCTGTCTACAGGATCATCAGAATACACTGTTCAACATCACCTTGCACTGGTACAGCTGGACAATGTTCCAAATTTGTCTCGATACTGTGGTTCATCTCCATCTCTCTCTGAAGTTGGAATACACTGGAAATAGTTTTTGCTACAAGGAGATATGAAAGCAGTTGGGAGAGGGGTATTAATACAGCTTTAAATCCAGATTTTAATCTATTTTTTTTAATCCAATGTTTTCTTTCAAAAGTAATAGCTAAAGGGCACTCAGAACCCGTACCTGGCCTCTTCCTGAGAGGAGCACATTCAACTGCCTGTGAAATTTTTAATCACATTCTTTCTTCAGTATCTCTCAAAATAAAATTTGTAATTTGTTCTACAATACTGCATGGCACATTATAGTTTTCCAAGATAAGAGTTATTAGAATTTAACTAGTGCATCAGTTGAGGCTCTCTTAAAAAGATGCAGGTTGTGATCCATAGTACAGTCTTAGGGAAGTAAAAAGGTGGAAAAGATTTTCATAGCTATCCATGTGTGGCATTAAGGGGGAATGAACAGTTTTTATTCCTCTTCCTATGCACAGAAATAGGAAGAGGAGACAAATTTCAGGAAGGAATGGTTAAAGTAGTCAGAACCTTGGCTGAACTCCTTTTCCCATGCAGTCGCCTACACAGTTAAACTGAAGCTTGGAGGAAAACTAAAGGGCATTAGCAGACTAATCCCCCCGGAACAAGAAGAAAAGAAAAATGTGTTTCTGCAGCAGCATCGCTATGCTCCAGCCTTCAAATAAGATATGTAATAAATTCAGAATCTATCTCACAAAGATTTAAGAGCTGATCTTTACCCTTCACTGGAATATCAGTCTCTAGCCCACAGTAAAATTTATGAAACTTATTTCAAACCAGCTGCCAGAGTGGGACCTTCCATTCTGTAACCACTTCAGATCAGGCTGCTTGCTGTCCCAGAGTAAACATACAGTTCTGAAATACATGGTCCTCAGCTAGTCACCTTCTCATTCCACAGTCTGAAAGACGTGAGGTTACTTACCAGGAGGAATTATCTAATAACCCTAAAGGAGGGCTATGAAGAAGAAAAAGGTAAAAAGGGAAAACACAGGAAAATATATAAAGACTGTTCTTAATTCTAAATTTCAGAAGGTATCTAAGGTGAAGCTGGGTAAGATCAAAATTTGCAGTAAGTCTAAAGAATCTCAAATTCTGACAGCGTGAGTTGACCATGAACTTGAATCTTCCTAGGTGTGACATGGGCTCAGATTCTGCAGTTGTTTCCCAGCTCTGCTTCAGTCCTGTTTGGGTGACTCAGTTCTCCACACTGACAAAGCCTTCTACTGCATCCTAAACATAGCACTGCAATGTGTCAGGCAAACTGGGATTTTAAAAGTATATGTGGGTTGAAAAGCACGTGGTAGTAAAGTGACAACCAGTCTTCTACCTGCAACGCAGGAGAGTTCAGACTGGGCAAAGAGGTGGTGACCCTGGGGCTGGTATCCTGAACTAGAGGTGAAAGACTCCCATTGTAGGGTCATCTTCTCAACTGTGGTAACTGGGATATTATAAATACTAAGCACATTTGGCAACCTGAGCATCAGTGGTCTTGACTGTAAAATGATAATAGTAACACCTACTTCACAAGCAGTGCTACAAATAT